CGAGGTGCGGGAGCCGGGGCCAGCCCGGCCCCCCAGAGGGGCACAGGCGGCGAGTCCCAGCTCAGCTGCCCTGCCCCTGCCTCCTCCCGAGCACCGGGGGCGAGCGCGCCCTGTCTCGGTATTCTGAACTGGTTTAAATTCTCTTTACTGAATCTGTTTTTTCTTTCCCGTATCTTTGTCTCATCAAAATCAAGGACTGTTTTCCTGGGTATAGCGAGGACTCTGACCAAAAGAAAAGGGGGGACCCCCCCATAATGCAATTCTGTGTCTGGTTTTGAAGCCTCTTCGTGCACACAAACTCCGAACAACAGGCAGAGGGCAGTCACCCGAGACGAAGTGTTTATTCATTTGCTTTTTAGAGAGAATGAAACTGCATATAAAAACAGCCAATAAAAATATATTCCAACTTATGAACAATTTAAATAAGACATGAAAATCTTTGCCTCACAGATTTAAAACACATCCTGTGTAAGAACTATGATAAATGCTTATTAGTGAGCAGCTTTTCTGAAGGACTCTGCCAGGCAGAGCAGTTCAAGGCTGCCCTGCCTACGGCTCAGCACTGACCACCCGATCTTTCTACAAGAGAGAAGCAGTAGCAATCTTTCTACAAGAGAGAAGCGCTTACAATTAATTCCTGTCGGTTCTGGAGTGACAGTATGTGTCCTGCAGGAAGGGAGCTACCGTTCCCCATGGAGGGGCTCGTGCTGAGGAGAGGGAGGGCAGCAACGCCCCAGATCCCAGCCCTGGCCCTCTACAGCCGCTGCTTCTTCCCAGCGGGGATCCGCATGCTCACAGTGGGGAGCGTTGGAGCATGGCTCCCCCTCCAGGAGAGGAGCTGGGAGTCTGTCTCTGCGTGCGCATGCACCAGAACTGTTCCTGAATCCGCTGCTTTCTAGGGAGAAAGACAAAGAGCAAGGGGTGACGCACAGGTCCCGCTGCACAACAGGCGTATCTTCAAACTGAGCACACCTGGATATCAGCAGATGGCCTTCCAATGAGAAGCATCTTGCTAACCCCAGCTCAGTCTTCTATTATAAATCATTCCCGTGTGCTTGGCGGGCCCCGGGTGGAGGAGAAAGCCTTCAGAACATCGTCTCACCTGTCTCAACAGAGATGTATACCTCCTCCCAGGTATAATCACCCAGGTTTACAGGCTGCTTCAGCCAACAATCCTCTACTAACACCGCTAGAGTCATGCGCTGCTCTGGAACTGAATGCAACAGCCCAGTAATGAGATCCATGAGACCTGGGGAGAGAAAGCAGTAAGAGGAACGGCTCAGTCGGTATCTTAGGCATGCTAGGAATGCAAGGTATGGTTTATATTCAGAGAATGCAGATTTTAATTACAAATCCTCCCCATTAATCCCTTGTGCAGTACTGTTCTACCACAGTCTTAGTCACATGGGCTCAGCTCTGGGAATGATCTGAGATATCCAGGTTGTGAAAACAGAGAACTGAGCGCAGAGTTACGACACCGAGGAGGACAGAAGTAGAAGCAAATGCCACAGAGGCAACCCTGACTCACTGTTTCCAAGCCCAGTCTTGTCCTGCAGTCATCCTGTTGAAGACATGTGAGAAACAAAACAAAGGATACTATTCAACCTCTGTAGATAGTTAATCAGACATGGCCCTGGGAGAAGGAACAAGATGGCAACATAAATCAGCCAGGCTAGAAAATACCAAGATAAGCTCGAAGGCAGTAAAAGACTGATAAGACCAAAGAGAATCACTTGAATTAGGAGTGAACTATGCTAATTAACACAGTAAAAACCACACCTCCAGCAATAAAGCCCCCGGCCCAAGCAAAGAACCCTACCCACTGAGCATGCTCTGTCAATTTAAAACACACTGTACCTTTAAGTAGGAGATGAGGCTTGCAAGAACCAAAAGAAGCAAGAATGAATATGCAGAGTTGTAAAACACTGAAAACAGATACTTAGAATGTATACAATGTCACTGTATGTTAATGAAGGTGTGCTTGATTTGTGGGAAACCACCAAGCACCCAGGACTGCACAACCCTGAAATAAATAAGCAATGTCTCTCCTGACTGTGTGATGATTTACTTACTGCAGACCAGGTAACAAATCCACTTTTCAGACAACAATCCCGTGTTTGATCTGTGATTAAAGGTGCATTCAGGGTGCAGGGAAAGCTTCTAGAATTTACCAGTCAATTGCAGCACCCTGAAGCCTTATAACCATAGTGCTGCTAAGGACCCCAGAGAACTTGTTGATGAAGATTTCTTTAGCCTGACATACAATTAGTTTTCTATACCTCCAACAGAAAACAAGGCCAATGTATTTTTCCTGTGAGGTCAAGCCATACAATTCATTCAGAAATTACAAATTAACACATTATCATCCATCCCGAAAGTGACATGGCATGGATTGGCAATAGTTCAAGTGAGATAAAACTTGCGTTAGAGTTATATGAGTGCCATGATTGATCTTAAAGTTATCTGCCAGAGTGAACCTTCCCATCAGGCATTATTTGTTCTGGTTTTCTCAGGTATAAACCTAACTGGAGCTTGACAAGCTGATAGGTTGAGTCATCATAATAAGTGGGAGGCCTGGAATTTGAAACTAATAAAACATAGAGCAGATAGCTGTATTCATCGTAGGCAGGAAGAACTGCAGAACTTACCTGAAAAGGATACCTTGGATAACTCTGCTTCTGTGAGCTGCTTTTAAAATCATTGCAGAGCACATTTGGAAGCATTATTCCAGTCTTCCCCTTTATTTCTGGGGAATAAATACTGCTCATACTTTCCCAAGATCTGTTCCTTTAGAAAAGCAAATGGGGAAAAAAACCTCACCTTTTGACACAGGCCAAGGAGGATTCAGGACAGCTGCCACGGCCTCCTCCAACTCACAGAAGGGATTCTCTCCAAATACTAGGGTATAAAGGGTGACACCAAGTGACCACATCTCCAGCTCAGGGCCATGGTACCTATGCAGAGATAAACTTGCATAAATTCAGATTGCATATATGTAATTGTGTGCTAAAGAAAGTAAAAAGAAAAAAGGCAGCTGATAGCCCTTCTAGCATAGGAAGTTTGTGAGAATTCTAATAAGGCACTCATGTTTTTGAGAAATCTGTATCATTCTTCTCCATGAAAGAAAAAACAACCAAAGAACGGCCAACCAATTTCAGTTGATGAGTATCTATAATATGCACCTAGACTTCCACATGCATAAGCTGGTGACAAGAGAACTTAAGCCTCCTCCTTCTTCACCATAAGCCAAAACTATCAAGTAAATATTTAAATGGAAGATCAGACACCTCAGTGGAATCCCATTTGCCCCCTCCCACCCCTTTCAAAACAGAAGTTATTTGGAAATAAATATTAACTATCTAGATTCCATCTGAGAAAAAGGGACAGTTTCTTCACACAGTAACAGGCTGAATTCCTAGGGCAGTGCTGCTTCATCTTCCATCTAGTTCCCAGCAGGGATTTCCTCCCCTCCTTGCACAGCTTTTTGCCCCCCGCTCCATTAAGAGGAGCTGCCTGAAGGACCCATGAAAACAGCTGTGAAACGAGAGCAAGATGACACACTTGCACGTACAATTAATCTTTACCACCCTGTGATGGTAAGGCTTCCCTCCAGGAGTGGGTATGAGAGTGCCAACCTCCAGGCAAAGAGCACTCACAGAAGGGGAGAATAGGGACAAGACAGCTAAGATTTGGGCAGCACATCCAAGATAGCAGCAAGCTGCAAGGGAAGAACCCTTGGGTCCAGAGGAGCACAAAAATGAATAGGGAAATGAACAGTGATCAAACTGCAAAAATTCATACAGGAAAGCAAGTAGGAAAGAACACAGCAGACAAGATGAGAGTGGGGGAAGTACAAAACACAGACACGGTAAGGGGCAGATGCTATACAGCAATACTTGCTTATACCATCTCTCTAAAAGAGCAGCTTTTAGTAGAGACACGTCAGTGTGTTCATATGCAGGTATGAAGAGAAGGTTAGCAAGCTGATGTACATATTATGAAAGATTAAGGAAAAAGCATACATTCAAGTCACAACACAACTCATCCAGAGTCTTCTGCCAAGCTGGAAATCAAAATCATAGGCTTGTTCTTGAACTCAGCTCTGCAGCAGAACAGACATTAGTGCAAGGCTTTGCAAAACATCTGACGAGAATAAGAAAGCCTGTCAACAGACTTACTCAGAAACAACTTCTTATGTATTCAAGCCTTTAAAATAATTTCTGTCATGACAGTGCCCTACTTTATGTGCATGCAAACCTTTACAAGTAATTTCTGTCATTGCAGTGTCCTAAATCTCACTGCAGTTTTCTGTGGTTAGATACTCTGATATCAGAGTATCAATGGCAAAGCAGCTTGGCTTCTCTATTCCAGCCCTGCACACACTTTTTTTTAGTGTGATGGACCCAAAAATTACTTTTCAGAGGGTGACATACGGTTTGCCAGAGAGCACTTCTGGTGAGCAGTATTCAATTGTCCCACAGAAGGTATAAAACAATTTGTTGGGTTCCAGGTAGGCAGCTGAACCAAAGTCGACTAATTTAATTGTGAAATCTTCAGCAATGACAATGTTTTCATCCTTTATATCTCTGTGAAGGATGTTTCTACAGTGGAGATACCCAACAGCTGACACAAGCTGAAAGAGGAGGAAAAAACTAGGTGTTACTACACAGTGGTGTCCTCCTGGATAATCTACATGGCATCACAGAGTTCTGATAGCCACATTTTGGCTTGTGTTGACACTATATGAACAAGATATAGATCCTAATTTTGGTAACTGGAAAGGAACTCAAGCATGCCTGTCAGCATTGCTGCAGTGGGTGTTACAATGCTCTCAAGAGAGGGACTTAAAAAAGCCTTTGCTTGCTTTCCTCTCACAAATGTGCAGGAAGACGGCATACTATAGTCACGATGTGCTGTTTTTTTTGGATAGAATCATCAGAGCTTACTGTTACAGTCCTGCGGGTTACTCTATTTTTATCCCAGCTTCATTTGGAGGGTCCTTTGATTTCTCCAGAGGATATTACTTGTGCCTCCAATACTGCAGGATGACAAAGCATTTAAGAGTGAAGTTTGGTATAAATAATAGTCACTCCTAAATTCCATTCTTCTTCCTGCACGATTCATGCTATAGTGCCATAATTAAGAATATCATCAGAATTATATCACCTTGGAGACAATCGTGATCCCTACCACAATACATTTGAGCAAGAAAAGCAGATGGCTGAGGGAGAAAAGTTTCTATTTATAATACAAAGCTCCCTCTGCAGAGAAATACTGTACAGGTCTGAAGTAACAAAGCACCCCTACAAACTCAAGGTTTGTTTAGGAAAAGGGCTTATCCATCAGAAGTCTAAAGGGACCATAGACTGCAGTTTGTGAATGCACACTGCATAGCAGAGAAGGTGCATGACTTTGGCTACCATCTTCCATCAGCACCCCAGGCAAGGGGGGTATGGACACAGCAGAGGGTTACCATGTACGAAGTCATTCCTGCATACCTTAGAGCAAGGAACTTACTCCAAAACATGCAAGTGTGAATTACTTGGGGACTGCTGTTGCAGTTAACTCAATGAACAAAAGACAATTCAGCTCTCAGGCAATCTCCTGACCCACAGTAAACTACCTTGAGTTATTTTTCATTATGCCATGTTAAAATCCAAGTTAATTTCTTGATTTTAAATTCCTTAAAAAGAAGAGAGCCCTTTACCCCTGGAACCAATCTAAAATAAGCATTGATCTAAGTGAAAGCATGGCTTGTAGTGAGGCTTGGGGCAACTTCCATGTGCTTTCCTCCTCCCACAGAGGAAACATGACTGCTACATGAATGGGCATCCTGGTGACAGGGGGTGCGTGCTGCTACAATCATAGCCAAGAGGCAATGGCACTATAGGAAATCCTAATATGAAGTAAGGTCCTGTAAAGGTTCCTTTGTTACAGGTTTCTACGTAAACCTTAAAAAGGTTTCTGCAGGTAGCATTTCAGTTAGCTAAAAATCAGCCCTACAGAATAATGAGGAAAAGTTCTGCAGGTATTGAGCGTGACTGATTCAGCATGCCTGCTGATTAGCCAGTAATTCTTTTGAGTGAAATAGGGTCCTGGTTCTTACATTAACCAAATCCTACCTGCATGTAGCAACTGCACATTCCCAGCTCTCACCTGTCTGAATATATAGCTCACTAATGGCTCATCCAAGTTGGGCTTATTATCAATGAATGCAAAGAGATCCAGACCAGATCCATGCTTCTCCATCACCAGCTGGAAGAAGTGTTCATTTTCAAATACATCTAGCACCTATAAATAACAGACTTTTTTAATCATGTGCTTCATCCTCAAACTACTCTTTTTTTTTTTTTTTTTTTTTTTAAACAAACGCTGCTCTCCTCTTGGAGATTTAATCAACATATATTATAACCTTTGAAGTCTCATTTCACTGAGCACAAATATTTCTTGGAAAGAGAGCATAATTAAAACTGAAAGCAGAATTAAAACCAAGAAGAATTCTTTTACTGGGGGGGGGGGGAACAAACAAAACCAACAACCCCAAAACAAAGAACAGGAATCAAGATATGTACTAGTTCAGTGAATAATCTGGATACATGTTCAGATGTGACATCACACTTCCAAGATATGCATCCTATCATCTTAAAATAACATACAGGCTTTTTTTCTGTTAAGAGTCACACCTTCAGATCTATGTTTACATCAATTGTTTGGGGTGAAAGTGTTGAAGCAAGTGATAGTCTGCCGTAACATATCCTCCAAAACAAAGCAGGATAGGTAGGTTCCTTTCTTGCCTGAAAAGGTAGATTTAATACAGGACACTTCCTTGCCCCTGAAGAGGAACACGAGACACCAAGTATTCAAAGGAAGCATCTGATGCAGTTCAAACTGCATTCACTCTGAGTTCACTGTACCTTAATGATATTGGGGTGCTCCAGCTTCAACAGGATTGCAATTTCTTGAGTAACTCTCCCCAGATCAGGATCATCTACCCAGCAGTCCTCAAGCACCTTCTCCTTCCAGATGAACTTTACGACAACCTACACAGACAACAGCATTCAGCATCACCTGCAAAAGCATGGCTTTAAGTGTTTGGCAAGTTAATTTCCAGGAAAAATGTTAGTGAATCATATTACCAGAAGGACAGAAGTAACCCAATGTGCATTGGTTATAGTATCTTTAAACATATTTAAACTAATTTAGTCCTAGAAGTCAAACGATGCACAGAAATGGAACATATGTATTTTCTTTTTATCAATGCTCTGAATTCCAAAGGCCTTGACAGGCCAGCTCTCTTATCAACCCAGTTACAGCAGTGGTGACTTCTGGCATAGGGGTACAGTGGAGGGAAATGAGCATTTCACATCCACGCAGAGAAACACCAGAGCTTGCCTCTCAACGCCTAAAATAATTCTGCTGATAAAGAGGAGGGTCCCATAACCTCAACATGTCTACTTCACATTCTTGAGTTGTGGCACAATAAAGACTTTGAAGTTTGTCATTCTCTTTAGTAACAGAAGACTAAAACCTGTAATTCTGTTAAGCTTAATGTATACTTCTTTCAACAGGTTAAATTAGCTATATGGTCAGTCTCATTCTGTGTCTGTTGTCTTAGGTAACAGTTCATATACTACATCAATGTGAACATTTTGCTGTACTGTTTCCATGAGGTTAGTGATTTCAGATTTCTGTTTAAAGAAAGGAAAACCCCAAACTACCAAATAGCAGCTTTTAATAGTGTAGTGTTGACAGAATATGAACACTCTAACCTTTCAGTTTTCATCCTAAATAATTATTGCAATGAGATCTAAAAGAAATATTTAACCTCCTGGTGATCTTTCTTGCCCCTGGCAGTCCAGACAAAGCCAAAAGATCCTTTGCCAATAAGACTGAAAGTGTTGTAATTTTTTGCGTATTCTCCCTCACATGCCCTTAATACTTCAAGCTCTTCAGCTCTTCGGGAATTCTCAAAAAGTGAAGTTGATCTGATGGCCTAGGTACAGATAAAAAAAAAATAAGACAAGAAAAAAAATGAGCAAGCCACAGAATCATGTTTATAAAATGAAATAAATACTGAAAAGAAAGTACACATCTGCAAGAATAGCTAAAAGGAGTGATCTTTGGTTTTGATAGCAAGAACTGTACGTTGATGTAACTATCACCATACGAGACAAGTTAAGTCAACACTTAGCTCTCAGCAGCTACAAATACTGCTTAATTCAGAGAAAGGTACAGAAAACGGAAGCATATGCACCTTAGATGCTCACACAAAATTCTCTGTGCAAGTAGGAAAACAAATTTATTATAGTCTATCACCAAATTATAATTTTATCTGATAAAGTCACTTTCCATGTCATTTTTCCAGGTAAGTGTATTCTAGATGAACAGAACTAAAAAGGTGCTGCTTTAAGCCCTGTCTATAAATTTGGAGATTTCTATTTGCCTCAGTAACCTAAAAAGAGTTAGTATATAAAAGATACTAAATTACCAGTGTTTACCAAACTTTCTGGTAAGACAGCATTTTAGTTCTGTAGATTTGTCTCTTAGCAGACACAAAGAGCAAAGAAGTTCAAGGCATACCCTCCTAAATTTTAACATCGTAGTAAAATCCCTAGTAAAGAAACATCGCATGCCTTCCTACCAAGGCCTGCAACACTGCATGAGAAATCAAACATAACAGAAGTTTTTCTTGCTCTGAGGATAGGGCTTGGGGTTGTTTGTCTCAGTGATTATTAGGTTTCTCCACCAAAGATGGCATCTAAAATGCATGACAACAGAACATCTTTATGACATACACAGTATTCCATAGTGAGAGGAAACACAACAAATCTCACAGGGGCATTTGTTTTGAATAGTGAAATTTGGAGTTATACATGAAATGGTCAGAACTACTTATATTTCAACATACATGTGCATGTACATGGAAGATGATTTTCTAAAAGGAAAACAAGAGCCACCTTATTACTTGGCTCTCAAAGGTCTCATAAAAAAATATTCCAAATAGCAAGTTTTGCCAATAGCCAAGCTTTTCACTCAAACATCTACTTTATCTCCCAGCTCACTGATTAAAGGCGAGGCAGGGAGGGAAACCACGTCTAATCTACAGTACATTTCAATAAACAGCAGCTCCTTAGAGTCTCCTGTAGTTTGGAACTGTCACCACTATACATGTTCCACGTGTGATATCTAAATATGTATGTACTTCTCTGTTAAGGTCATCATAAAATCCAGCTATGTAAAGATCTAGGGAATATATACATTTATTCAAGGGATCTAGAAGATCACCATTACCTATTTCAATTGATCAAAGACACTATTTTCCTCTACAGCCTTGGTCAAAGTACTGTCAGTTTTACATCCCACTGCTAACTAAAAAGCAGGCCCGAGCAGTTCTGTGTTCAAGTTTTATGGCATTGACATGTACCTACTCTTCAGCTATGCGGTGTTAGCTTTCTGTACACCACCCGGAATGCAGCATCTCAGGAGGCAGCTAAAAACCACAGTTTTCTTTTGCTGACACAAGTCAGTCAATGGAAGTTTCCAGCCTAGTATTTCCTTTTCGCATAATGTTGTGTCATTGGTGCCAGTGTGATTACACTGATTTAAAAATTAATTAATCTCACCACACTGGTGCAAACATCTATCATAGATGTACTTAAACCAGCCTAAGAACAAGTTTAAAATTAGGTGCTTTCATTGTTCAGACTGGAAAGGTAACTACACAAAGCCAAACACAACCAGAAATGTTACAAAATAGCAATTGTCCTTTTAACAGCAAAGAAACATTTCTTTTGACATAAAAATAGCAAAACAAAGAAACAACAATATCCACCCACCACTTCATGACATTTTAATTTGAAAAACTTTTTGACTTTAGCTTCAGCTTAACAGTCAATCGAGGAAAGAAATGCTCAATATTATACAATGGTAGAATTTCTTACTTCTCCAAGACTATGTGTAGAAAGATCTGCAATAGACTGGACAGAGCTAGCTAGACTGGAGACCAAAAGCTGAGTCTTTGCTACAGCTTCCTTCTGGCTCTGTAGAAGGTCTTTCACCACCCAGACACAGAAAAGTATGGCAGGGTCCTGCAGTTCTACACGTTTCACTTCAAAGAGTATACCTGTAGAAACAAGGGAGGAAGTTAAAATGGTAGAATGAAACTTTAGTGTTTATCAAGACCGCAGACATTTTAGGACAAAATTCTGAGCTCTTAACAAAGTGAATTCCTCCATTATTCATTTGGGGAACACCTACTCAGTAAGGAATCATCAGAGGGGCTGACAAAAGCACAGCTATTCGAGACATACTTGGCTACTTCCATAGTTCCCACCCCCCGGCAGAAACTTTTGTCAGTGTCCAATTGTGATTATTAATTTCAGTTGTTATTCTAAATTACATAAAAATGGGGATTTTATACTACAAGCCACAGAGTCCAGCTGAAGGAGTGAACGAAACACATTCCATTACACAATTTAAATACAAGTGTCACAGTGGAGTTTATATTTTCTGTTCCGAAGAAGCTATCAGGTTCAAATCTTTTAACTGTGTTTTAAGAATATCTCTGACTATTCAGTCTGGATTAATTTCTTAGTAACTTTGTATTTTATACCACCTGCTTTTCCAATACCCTCTGAGTAGACTTATATACCATTGTTTCTTCTAGATGCTAGAGCTTCTTCCTTCCTCTCCACTGTGAGCTTCTAACCAGAATTGTCTGCCTTCTGCAAAAATGTGGGTGAAAAGGGGCATCCCGATAAGAGTTTTGGGAAGGGGAGAAATAGGTTTAACTTACTTAATTGTGAACCATCTCTGTGACAGCAATTCCCAGTGTAGCTGCCTTCCAGAATTTCCAAGGTCAAAGGAGCTGCTGGATTCAACCTTCCTTCTTGTTTCACCGGGGTTGATGTTACTTTTATCTCCATATTTTTCTGCCCATGCAACAGACAGTCTTCTTCAGGACTACCTTTGCTTTTCAGTGGGTTTCTGTTGACGTTGTTCCCCACAGTCTCTGCAAAAGGTTCAGGCTTCTCAAGAAATGCCTTGGAGGATTCTTCAGAGTTTTCTAAATGCCTTTGGGAGGCCAGCCACCCAGAACCATCATCTATGGCAACACCATTCAACAGCTGCTTTTCTTGTCCAGTTGAAAAGGCACTGTTTTTCTGAGTTAGCATATTGCCTACAGCCGAGTCTACTGTATCAGAGGAGAATGCTCCTACAAGAGCTGCAGTAATACCTAAACAATTGTCTGAGTTCCCCTTGACACCAATATGCAGACCCAGTAACTCAAGACCAGAGCAAATACAGTTCAGCTCAGCATCTGATTCTTTAACGTCTTCAGAGGTTGTGGCAACTCCTGGTGCAAAAGCGCTGCAACCCATTTTATTTCCTAAGCAAACATCATGGATAGTATTTCTTCCATTTCCAAAGAAAACGTCTGGTGGTGTCCCAGACCATGGCTCATCTATTGTTGGTGTTCCAGGTGAGTTACAGGTAACATCAGAAGGCAGCTTAATTGGGCCATAGGATGCAGTATCTAGATTGTCTTCTAGCCTAGAACAAACAGGCAGCCAGGCAACATTTCCTGAAGAAGCTTGTCCCCAGGCTTCAGTGGAGTGCTGATGCTTCAGCGTTTCATATGGTAACCTACAGATCTGCTGACAATTTCCTTCCTTGAGGTCTTGATGACGAACTTGTAATTGGTTAGGCAAGATACTAGTCTCACTGGTGTTTCGAGTCTCAGGTGCACCAGGTACTGCACTATCACCGCTTTTTACTGGAATCTTCATGTTCTGACTTAAATCCAACTGTTCTGAATCAGATGATGTGGGAGAGAGCCTTGCATAGAGCATCTTTTGAGAATTATTTGATCCTACAGTTTCCGCTGTTCTGCACTGTTCCACTGCTCTGATTCTGTCAAGCCAGACTCCAGGGTGAGGCTCTCTATGGTGGGCTGACAGCCCATCAGTAGCAATGCTGTCTTCACTGCAAGGATTCAAAGTTATTAGTGATACCATGATGACGAAAGAATGAGAAAACCATAGTACTGTATACTACCCACTCTTCCATTATTATGGTCACTATTTAAAACCTGCACCAATTGTTTGGGGTTTTTTTCAAGTTTAAAAGAAAAAGGCAGAAAGCTGTTGGCACAGGCATCCAAAATCCTAATAAATTCCATCTTGACCAAAGAAGAGCAGGTATTACTTCCTTCTCTAGCTTAATTTCTAAATACATGTCATAGATCATTTACCACAACGAAAAGCCAAGACACGTGGCAGGATACTACCAGTCTTAGGAACAGAAAATCCCTTGTCTGTCCAACAGAAGATGGATATCCCCATCCGTCAATTTAACCATGGTTCACTGAAGACCATAGCACAAGGTATTTTACAAGCATTTCTATTAGTAAAAATGCAGAGTAGAAAAACAATCCATGCAGCAGAGCACTTACAATCCAAGTATGATGTCAGAGACATAAACCCAGGAGAGCACAAGGAAACAATAAGACTATCAGTTTCTTTAAAAAGCAGCAAGAACTGTGCTGTAATAGTCTATATATTAAAAAGGGCAGTAAATATTTTCTGAGGGTTAGAATTGTTAGTGTGGAAAGCTTAAAATTTGACTTAAGATAAACCATGTGCATCATATGGGTACTTGTGCAGAATTTCTAACCTTGTAACAGGAAAAAGACCTGGAAAGGTACAATAAAAATGGCTGGACTTCAGTAACACAGTACTCTGTTTTAGTGGATGACCTGACAGTTACACTGAGCACCAGAAGGAATAACATTTAGAATTCATTCCAGGTAACCTGGCTTCAGCGCAACACCAGCTGGAGGATAACATGGAAGGAGATAAACATCCACTGTTTCTGATGTAGCAAAGGTAGAGCCTAATTGCCCGGGTGAAGCATTTGGTCCCCTTTAGAGATGGAACTCCTGTAACTACAATTGTAGGTTGTACAGATCTAAACAAAAACCTAAGGTAGGCAAAACTCAACCTGTCTTGCAAATAGCGCTCAGATTCTAAAGACAGCAAAGTGCAGAAGGCTCTCGTTATACCTTCCCACAGACATCACAGAGGTGAAGAAACAGTTTTTGCTGGTGATTGCCACCATGGCTCTTCATTTTTCAAAGTGAATATGCCATGAAATGCCTACCTATTAGAGAGTGTGGATGCCACTTCAGGAGGTGAGGGAGTAGAAAATAAACTGGTCCCATTCTTTTGTTTAGTCTCATCATGTATTAATTTGTCATCTTCATGTCTTCTTTCCAATTTCTGCTCTTCATCTCTTGACAGAAGGCTTGCTAAAGATGCAGCCACAAAGCTGCTGTCTGTATCAAACAAGAAAGAAAACCATACCAAGTTAACCTTTTATGTTTAGGCTCTGGAGACAACAGTGATGAAAAAAAATCTTGGAACTGCCTTGGTCTGTCTCATCCCTACGGAATTAAGTATAAAAGACTTGATTAAGGTGAAGTGGTCCAAATATGAGCACCCCACTCTACTCTGGCCTGAGAAGTCATCACATGTAGGAATCTAAATGTTTCAGGGCTGCTAAAATTTGCCTTCCTATCAAAGCTCTTGGACAGGTATTAGCCTCCTGGGTTAGCTACTTGGATCAGAGACCTAAAAAAAAGCCGGTGACCATATAGAAACTGGAAATAAAGTGATCATACAAATAGCAGAAAAAAAAAAAAAGCCCAAAACACACATACACTCCCCATTCCAAACACTTAAAATAAAATGGTTTAGACTGCACTCATATAACTCACTAAAATTGCAAGACAAAAAAGTATACAGTCTAGACATGTTTAAGAGAAAGAATAAGACAAGAACTTCTTTCCTTCCCCAGTGACAACAGATCAAAAGAAAAAAACATGAGTTTGTAAGATGAAGCAAACCGAGTATTGTTAATGAGTGAACAAATCTAGATTCAAATCTAGAACAGTCCTTCCATTTAGCAAAGGCTGAGTGCCAACAATGCTTCCTCACTGAAGAACTGAATTACTCCTAGATTAGAGGCATCGCTTCATCAAAAAATTACTTAAGAAATTGCACGCTGTCTACTATCTTCTTTGTTCCAGTAGTGTGCATTGGTTTCAATGCAGATGTGCATTTCTAAGCAAAGAAAAGAGAAAAGGCAAACAGGAAAAAAAATAAAATGAAGGTGACAAAACCAGCATAAAAGATCTCTTGTGATGTGGACGAAAGCATGCACTTGCTTGTGTTCTCTGTTTTGGGCAGCTGGAAAGACAGATTTGGAGATATGAGGCTTCCTTCTGTTTATTCCTGTTGTGTTCAGAGAAATACAATTTTGATCAATTCTTTGTAAATGCAGTGAACTGCATCAGTGAAATATGTGATGCCTCCTAACTGAAACACCACAGCAACATAACATTGAATATTAGCAAGCAACATGAGCCAATTGAGAACAATATTAGAATTTTCCCTTAAAATATTAGTCCTAAGTATCTACAGCTCTACTGCAATACTGTCACAAAAGCTATATTTTACACATCTTAAAATACTCAGAGATCCTAACAGGGGAGGAAGGGAAAGGGAAGCACTCGCTAAGTACAAATAATTCTCTATTAACAGTGTCATTTCCAACTTGGATATTCAGTTTCATCTTCTTAGCAACAAAGAGAGAAGCACAACCTTAGGTGAACAATTCTGTTTACCTTAGGTTATAGCGGAAATCCAATTTCAAAACTGCATGGAGGTACATTGCTTTTACAAAGCATGTTCCCACGTTCATCGGCTAATCTCTCATCTCTATTCATTTTACCTTTGTTCCAGCAGCCAGAGCCAGTCATATGACAGGCAGTAACATCTTCAAAGATGCACTCACTCTCTGTCCCTGTGGAGTCATCAAGAGGAGGTAATGGCAAAGCACAGTCACTGCTTGTCTCCATGTTGTTATAGAAACCAGGGATCAGGAACGTAATGTTCTAAAACACAGAACGAAACCTTATAAAGCTAAGCTGACTCTCACAGGTTGCGGGAAAATGCTAACAATCCATGTTTGTGGACCTCATTCTCATGAACAGCCAGACAAAAGCAATCCACATGACTGATGGAGCACATATGCTTGAAATCCATACTAGCTCCTCAGCACTGCAAGACTTAGCAATTAGAGCAAGGGAATTTGCGTATCATCCTACAACTCACTCGCCAAACACATGGAACACAGGTTCTGTGACAGACAGAAATGAGTCTGTAAACACAGCTTTACAATTCTAGTGGATATGCTGCCAGACACAGCAGTCTTTTGGGAGGGATTAAAACTCCTATCTTACCTTTCCCAACAGTTCTTTCTTCTCATAGCCAAAGAGCATTAAAGCGAAACTATCCTTGATGCCACAGATGGTTCCATCTGACTGGACAGTAATAAGACCACTGATGGTGGAGAAAACCACGACTGTAGCAGAATAATGATAGCATGTGAAAGAGCCTTCTTTTTCTGTCTGCGGAACACCATCTTTCTGCACTGCTGCTTGGTCCTCCTCCAGAAGGCTTATTTGCAGCTTTAAACTGAGAGGAAACATGTTACCCTCTCTGGACTGGCCTACAGCTTGCTGGATCCTAAGGTTCTAAATAAAAGCAAAAAGCAAAAAAAAAAAACAAACAACTTTAACTAATCAAATGTTTTGGGTTTATTTCAGTATTCATATAAAATTACACAGGAACATTATCAGGAAAAAGGATCAGGAAAAGAAAAATGAACCAATCCTGTGAATATCAAAATGAAAAAAGTCTGGTTTTATAAAGATTTGGAATCCAGTGTTGAACTCCTATATGAATATTCTGACAATGAAGACCAGAAGAGTCCATGCTGCAGCTTTTCAGCAAATGAGGCATTAATAAGGCCTCTTTCAACTATCTAGCTGCCCGTTTTCATGGCATTTGCAAGATCTGGGTATTCTCTGGACTTTCACTCCTCAGACAGACATGACTGAAACTGACTAAAGAATTCAAAGGAATTTTAGGGAGCTGACAGAGACAGCATGGTTTCTCAAAAAGCCAGGATTGGAGAAGTGTCTTTCACCAGGACAGATTCCACAGTGAGAGATCGGGGCTTAGTCTCATTCCTAGTTAGGAAATACTCAGACAGCAGCTCCATAAATAAGCAGCATACCCTTTTTCAGGGGACTTACACTTCTCTCTGAAAAGGCTTTCTTCTGTTACATAAGGAGGGAAAAGCGTGTGCACCTATGTTCCAAATGGGAAGAGTATAGAAGAACGTGGTTGGTCTATACCTTTGGGATTTTTTTGCCTAGAGGAGGGATCTGCACAGAAGGAATCAGGTCCTTTATGTGGAGCCCAACTACTTCTTCCAATGTTGGGTAGCCATGGAGATGGGCAAAAAGGAGGTCACATGATGTAATCTCTCCCTTGGGAAGAAAATTTACAGGACCATTTTAATTTTAGCATTTTAGCCACAGTCCACTCAATCCTTTAACAACAGTTTCTGCAAATATCTAAGCAAATGGCAGGATGTTTCATTCTGCAGTCTCTTCATGGATCCAACTACCTCAGTAAAAGCAGACACAGCATCATGCAATATTTCTCCATTATCATGCAGAGAGCCTGCCCTTTGCCATAGGGGAGAAGCAGGAGGGTCCAACGCTCCTCACAGAACTTTTCCTCAGCAAGCTGATCCCTTCACAAGGGCATCGCTGCCATGAATAACCAACCCCCTGCGAAACCGTCACTGTTCAAATCTAAGATGTCCCCGAGGGACAGACAGTGTATTTTAATGTGACTTTTCGCATATGTCAAGGTAAGCCGCATGGGAGATACATGCACAGGTCCTACATATGCAATCCCAGTTTCAGGCAATGCTACGTACACACTTCATGTTCACAAATAGTAATGTGCCTACTGGCTTTTAGACATGTTTCATTGCACATAAACTCTCACAAACTGCGGTCTCCTTTGATCATTAGGAAAACACTCACGTCAACCCTGAAGGAAACAGAAGCTGAAAGTCTTTCCACTGGTTCGAGCACAACCACACAACACTGGTTGTCCTTGCTTCTTATTCGCCTCAGCCAGACCGAGACAGGAATCTTCTCTTTCAGATGGCCTCTAACATCCACCTTTCCATAGGATTCAGAGATGTAGTCATAATTTACTAAGACTGTGGTTACTTAGCAAGAATTTCAAACAAGAATAAGATATTGAACCAAGATATCTCCCTGCCATTGTTAGAACAACATTGTTTCTTGACTACTTACTAGTTTTTTATTGGAAGAAACACAGTTTTAATATAGAGATGAAAAGGTTTGTAAATAATTCACTGATTGTACACAAAATGTCGTTGTTACTTTTGTATCTTCTCTCCCAGCCTCAGAAAGACTAACAGCATTTCCTTCAGCATAATAAATGTGCCAATCTAATACCTTGCATTCAAGAGAAGTGCCTTTCAGAGATGCCTTATTTAAGAGACGTCCCATGGTGCTAATGAATACTCCACATTAGTAACATTGTTCTTAATTTAAGCTGCAAAAATAGCAGTTTAATTTCTTATGGGAGGAGATGCTTCTCAAATCAGAAAATGTTTATTTATCTTATAACCTGCAGTGTTCATATCAAGCCTTTTATAATTTTTACATGATCGTGACAGAATGGGTTTATACATTACACAGCGACTCCGATAAAGTACTAGGAATGGCTGTAGCTTAGAATTAGTGCCTTTATCAGACATTTAATTTTAATTCTGGATTTCACTGAATCAAACGTAGGTACTTTCTTTTTTTTCCCATATTCAATTGAGGATTCAGGAAGATCAAGCTCTGAGATGCTAACAATTCCAGTACAAAAATAACACACCAGCAAGAACATCAGCTCATTTGCCAAGTATTTTCTAGTGACAGCACGAAACAGCAGCAAAAGAAAATAATTTTGAGACATTTCTCATGCAATTTTCTTATAAACAATCCCACTACAGGCAAAATATCAATTCCACTCTTTTGCACCAACTAGGGTGTTTTGGCACAGACATTTCACAGTATTTGACTGACTTGTAACTTTATAATAAGCACAATGCAATTTAAGGTAATTTTTAAAATATTTTAAAAGACCAGACAATTGGGAACTTTTCCAGAATAGGTTTTTCCATGTTAAGCAATCTATATTGATTTTTTTTTTTAAATCCAATGTCCTTGAAGTTCTGATTTAGTCATCATGACTACACATTGGCAGCTGCAAGGCTCTCACAGGTGCCTCCCAAACCATCTTTTGCCCTTTGAATTCCCGCATCTGCAAACTTTTAAACCAAACAGTCCTACAAATTACATAATTGCCAAATGCCCACAAAGTTAAATATATCAGGAAATTATACTGAAAATATATAAAAAAACCCAAAACCCCAAACCAAAGCCAACAAAACCACTGTATATGGTGGGGAATATTTGCTTGAACATTTCACATACCACAGTTCCTGAAACCAGCGATGAACATTCATCAGTTTCTATGTAGTCCTCACCCACAGCTTCCCATACATCTTGACTGGATTTGGATATCAAGCGGGACAGCTTTTGACCAATGAGTTCCTGACTACTGCACCCAAGCAGCTTGCAGGCTTTGTCATTAGCCACTAGGATCTAGAAAAGCAGAAAAAAACCCACAAAACACCAAAACAAAACAAAGAATAAAAGCTGTAAGTTTTGTTAGTAGATCACCACCTCCTCAGGTTCTTGCTTTAATGTCTTATAAAATCCCCTCCTCTTGGTGGGAATGGAGTGGTTCTTTTAAATTCTGAAATCTTCAAAAACAGTTCACTAAAGCTTATTATTTTAGGACATCCCTTGCCCACATGTCTTCTTGGTTAAGAGGGTTTGAGACATTGCTTTCCTTTTAGGTTTCCTGCTTTCTTCTAACTGCCTACCTGCTCCAGCCTCTTGTGTTGTTTAAATAATTACATCCACAGAGGCAAAACTACAAAGTTGTATTTGCAGGCAGAGCCTCGCAGACCACAACATTTTATCCACACCTGAAGGCATGCCGTAATCACACCAGTCATTGACATAATTAAGCCTGTGTTATAGACCAAGTCAGGATTAAATGCCTTTAAGATGGGTAAGCCCGAACTGTCAGTTCAAGCTAAAAATGGCACAGCTTTTTAAAATTTTCAGGGCTCAATTTTATATTAATGTTTTCTCTCAGGACAGAAACAGAGAAATCCTCTCCCTCCCAATGCAAAAGGCATATTTACTGGGCCAGATAGAGACCTAGTGCCACCACAAATCCATCCCAGGGTGGCACTTAACAAACAGAAGGCTTGAAGCACATTCTGCTTTTCATTTCTTCCCTCATGCCACATCACAGCTGTACTCTTCTTAATTCCCTTCTTCTGTTTGAAAAAAAGACTCAAGACATCTGTGCTTCTGATATTGTTTTTTTGATTTGCTAACCACAACCTGCAATGGAAATAAACACATTATCAGTCTTTAGAAGACTACTGAGCTTGAGCAGACTATAAAATGCCTTCATGATGCTCCGATTGCCTGCAGATAAATGTAACAATAACAGGCATTTTAGCCTGTCTGATGTCATGCAACCTATACCAGATATGGCCTGCTTAGTTTAGCAGTTGCTACTGCAAATACCTCTGTTGTGTTGACATCCACGGTGAAGATGGCTTTGTTTGGATTGCGTGCAGCAGTTGGGAGGCACTGGCTGGATTCCTCTGCAGCAAGGGCATGCAAAAAGGAACAAGAAGCAGAACTTCTGATGGAAGTGGAGAGAGAGGCAGAATCCCACTGAGTCCACGAGTTACCAATTTTGCTGGCACAAATGTTACGAGCTGCCAGTGAAGACAAACAGTAAGAGCTCCATTTCTTCCCTGTGAGAAGATAAAGATCAGCTATGTAGCTGTAACAGTCTAGTACAGGAGTATTAGAGGAATGAATAAAAAAAAATCAGTTGCCAGCTGAAGCAACTGTCAAGTAATTCCCAAATATATGCTTCTACATTTTTTAAAAAATTACAAGAAAATAAAATCAATGAAACTGAAGAAAACAGAAACAATTCTAATAAACGTATCTTTTTGAATCACAGCCACTGGAACTATTAAACTCAGTCCGTAGGCTAGAAAAGAATTGCCAACATCCATAAGATTCAACCAGACTAGTTAACTTTTATTTTTCACTTAACAGAGTTTAAAAAGGTTTTGAAATGTCTCAAGTTAAAATTGAAACTGTTATTAAATATAATTACAGTAAATGTTCAAGCCCTTATTAAATACTGCATTAGTCAGAAGCCAGTTAATTAACTGTTCACAAGACGTAACACTGAAATACCTGTGCCCACACCAATGTTTTATGTTACACAATGCCAAATGATCCTACTAAAATTTTGAAAAGTTCTGCCTGTAAAAAATGTTTCCCTGGGAAGTGGCATCAGCAGCCAAATGCCATCGCTCCACTCCCAAAACAGTAAGCAGTTTTGAAGGTCTAGCAGTAGTGGAAGAAGCATTATGAACAACTCATCACAAGGACATCTCTGCATTTACGCACCACATACAGTATGAATATGCTCACCATGATAAAAAACAAAGACATTTATGTGGATGCATTGTAAACTGCAAAGTTCTTCCCCTCCTAACAGAATCCAGTGTAATAACATCTTTCTCCCCATTTGGAAATTTTTAATGTTTTAGATAATAATACAACGTGGCAGGATGGTCCAATGGCAGCCAACAAAGGTTGCCCAGGGACAAGTACAAGTGCAGAGCACCTATCCAGCAACGCATCTCCTGTAAACTCTCCCAGCCTGCAGTAATCTATGGCTCAGATGCTTATTGAAAAAGCGCTTTCTGGCAGCTACTTATTGCTATCACCTCTAGGTTTTGGGGAGGGAAGGAGGAAGATCTGAAATCGCCTGAAACACATCACCTTCACTGACAACATACGAACTCAATCTCAAAATACTGTGCTTACCTGACAGAGATGCTCCAAGCCGGCAGAGTTCAGAGAGCTGACTTTTCCTGCTCTTGCTGGCCCAGGGGTAGGATCTACTTAGCTTATCAGAGTCATTCAAGTGAACAAGGACTAAACCTACTGATGAAGGCAGAAAACCCCCTTCAGAGGGGCTATAAGCCTTGGCTGCCATGATCACAGTCTGGTTGCCACTCCACACCTATGGAGCCATCATCTGTAACCGAAACATAAGAAATTCAGTCAGCCTTACAATCAGGCACTAACCCTACGGACACTGGCAGGTAATGATGTCTTCTAGCCCAAAGCACAGCCCTGTAAGTTATGGCGACACTGCCGCTTGCTCTTGCACATCCCGATCAACGTTTAGTCTGTGTTGTTAACACAAAGGTAACTCTATTGACTATTATCCTGCCCAGGCAGTACCTGTGATCAATAGGACGCCTCCACCATATTTCTGTAAGAGCTACCAAGCCCCCAGCCGGCACTCTCTCCCCTTTTGGTACTTTTGGAAGTAATTCCCAGTTTTGAGTCAGCAAGTGTGGCACAGCCTCTCTCCCACCCAGGGTGCCTCCCGCACCGCCGACCCTCCCGAGGCTGCAGCCCTGGCCCGCCCCAGCCCCAGCAGGACAGCGACAGCCACCGCTCCCCAGGGCGGCCACCCCACAGCCGGCAGGCGCGAGGAAGTAGGGGGCGGGACTCGGCGGCGGCGTTGCCCAATAAGCGAAGGCAGTGGGAGAGCGGCACGGAGGGGAGCCAATGGGGACCGGCGCGGGAAGAGGCAAAACTGATCCGGTGTTTGTGGCTCCCTCTGGCCTCTCTTTCCTTCACCGCCGCCACAACGCACGATGCTCTGCTTCCAGCCACCGACCCCAGGCAACCCTGGCCGACCTTCCTGCGGCTTCCTGCTCCGGGGGTGGAAGGCTGCACGTGGAATGCCCCTCTGCAGGATGACAGCTATCTTCCGAAGAATTTGTAGGTGGAACGACGAGGCCGAAAGCAGCTCGTAACGCCTGAGGCGCTGGTGGGGAGGGTGCAGGTCCCCAGCCGCTGCAGAAGCGCCCGGCGGTACGACCGCTTCCCGCCCTGCCGGTAGGGAACTACAACTCCCAGAAGGCCACGGTGCGCACGCTGGTGCGCACGCGCGTGGGTGGCTGGCGGCCCGGGCTCTGCCCCGCCCCCTCGGCGCACCACCTGCAGAGGTGATTGGCTGCGACGCAGCGCCAACGCTGGGTTCTGATTGGCTGCGATGACGATTGAGGCGGTTTCCGGAAGGGGGTGGTGGGAGGAGAAGCAATATGGCGGCGGAGAGTGGAGAGGGACCGCAGGAGATGATGGATTTTTTTTTCGCGTGGGGCTTGTGGGCCCTCCGCGGTCGGGCAGCCCCCGGGTGTCCACCCCGAGGGTGACTGCCGCAGGGGGGACGGGGCCCTGGCTGGCCGCCGAGCCGGAGCGGGCCACCCGAGCCGTGGGGGTCGGTGTGTCTGTTACCTGGGGCATGGCGTGATGCCGTCCCCCTCCCCTGGGGCTCCACGCATGAGAGGTGGAAGAAGTGGGTTTGTGGATATGACCGTGACGTAAAAAAATAAAGATAATAAGAAACAAATCCCCTGGCACGGCGTTGCTTTTCCTCAGTCGCCCCGTGAAACGAGAGCAAATACTGAGGGGGGACCGAGGAGGAGCGAGGAGCTTCAGGTCCCCAGGGCCAGGGTAGCCGCCAGAGCTGTGGCTGGGTAAACGGTGAAGGGATCTTGCAGGTTGTACTGGGGAGACGGTTGCTCTTTATCTGCAGGGATTTTTTTTTTCTTATGCCTTCACTTCTTCGTGTCATTGGTACTATTGTACATGATACTGATTTTTTTTCTAAAAGCTTTTAAAATGTAATAGTTCTAATTCCATCTCCGTGATCTTTGGAATTGCACTTCATTGATCTAAGAAATTTCCTTTTTCCTCCAGTCTTCTTCCCAGATTGTTGGTTTTAGGAAGATGTGATGGGAGGAAAAAGTGCATCCAAAATCAAAGTAGAAACAAGGGGTAAGAGGCCTTTTATTTAAGACTAAACCTTTAATTTAGTTAATTTAGGATTTCTACTAACTGCATAGTGGTATACGTGAATCCTGGTTATTATATCTGCTTGCTACTTCTTCCCCCCACCCTACTGCTGAAAATAGCCTAATTCTGCTGTTATGTATCTTACACAGTTGATAAGCGGATTGAATCAGAGGAGTCGGGAGACGAAGAAGGGAAGAAGCAAGCAGTTCGCTTAGTAACAGACCTCAGTCAGCAGAGCCTGAGAGATGAGCAGAATGGTGAGAACTCTGCAGGTACCTTGCCAACCTAAATCATCTCGTTAGGAAGTCTTGTCTTACCAGTGTGTACAGTAGCATACATGTATCATTCCTTTGTGTTTCTTGTGGCTACATGATGGTTGTATCTATGTAAGTTAACAGCGTGAATCTGCCCTAGAGCAATCTTCTTTAAAAATTAAATAAATGACAATGTTATCATTGCTAAAATAAAGCTGCCTTCTTTTTATGGAACCACTGACATTAGACCATTTGTTTTTTCTTATTTATTTATCCATCCACATTTCTCTTTGAAATCTTTAATACCAAAATGCAAAACACCTTTATTCGTACTTTTTTTGTGGAAACATAGTAACTTTCTGTGGAAGGATGCTGGAAACATTCTTTAGAAATACACATAAACAGCTTTTCATAGTTCTGCTTTTTTTTTTTAATTTAAAAATTCTAAGAAATATCAGAATTATGTCTGTTTGAATCCTCTTGACTGTAAACTTTTGCTGCTGTTTTTACTGTTTGTAAACATTGGGTGGAACATTGGGTAGAAATGTTGACAGACTTTTAAGCTTGTGCATGTTTGGTGGAAGGGTTTGCTTTTCAGTAACTTGCGTAGAATTTGGCAGAGCAGATCCATTTCTGAAGATCCTGTATGGCAATATTATCTGGGGTTTTGGTGCTAACAAACAATCTGAGATGTAATAGCATCCTTTTGATAGAGATGTTTATGTGATTATTATTGGTCTGGAAATGGAAGTGAAATAATATAGCAAATTTTCTGCAACAAATTTTAGTCCTTTTTGACTGTGCATTTACTGCACATCCCTCCTAATCTTAACCTTGCCCATTAGAATTTGCAAAAGTGTTTTCCAAAATAGGAAGTTATTGTGAGAATTGTAAATCTCATCTCCTAACTATAAATGAACTCTAGGTAATAATTCATTGTTGATTGTAAAAAAACCATATATTTAATTGAAAAATGCTGTGGTGGTATCTGTGAAAGTGTAAGAGCACACCTCGCAAATTGTACATCCCAAGCACTATATGATCAATACAACCATGCAGATCAGTCAGTCACAGTTTTCCTTTGCATGCATATAACATTGAGTGTTTGTTCAGCTGACGTAATTTAGCTGTGCATTTGAGGTTATATTTTGTATGTTCCTCCCCTGGGAATTATAATATTAGACAAAATCCTTCAAGTGACGTACTTTTATTCCAATGAAAGCAAGAAAAACCCGTTCAGATTTAGTGGCTGAATTACGTTGGATACAATTTAATGTAATGACTGTATTGTTACTTCTTCTTCCAAACTGTTAGGACTCATAAAACTTCTACAAGGGCAGAAACCAAGCAGAGGAATAATTTTGGAACATTTGAGTTAGTTTCCACAGCCAGCTTTGAGTTTCTCAGCTGAAAGGAAAATGAAGTTTTCCACATTTTTCACAGAAGATCATAAATAGAAGGAGCTCAAGCAGCTGAAATTTCAAATTTATCATTTAGCTAATTCTCTGAAGAATAGCGCCTCTGTTTAGAAAGCTTATAACTTCGCTATTTATAATATTTTTCATGCATATGCAGCTAAAAAGTGTAGTTAGGCTTTTAGTTGCTTTAAATGCTTGTGGTACTGTGAACTTACATAACTCAGTAACTACTGTTCCGTACTGCGGAATTCGGGTTTCCTGAATGTTGTATTTTTTTCCTACATCTGCAAAGCTGTGTAGCTCGCAGGCATGGGTTACACAAAAATTCGCTTAAGTAACTTCACTGCAAGAGCAATGTTTTTTCCCCTTGAGAAACCTGCTGCATTAAAAATTGTGGACTAAAGCGCTGTTTACATACTTACTGCATGCAAGTGAAATTGCAGTTCTGTTTGTAAAGTGATTGTAGAAGGGTCAGTTTAGGGTGTTTTATGTCCTTTGTTCATAAATAAAATGTTGGTTGACAATTGATAGGACTGTAACTTTGCGAGAACCATTTTTGTCTCTCTTCTTTGAGAGAAAATGTACTTTAACATTCCCATACCAATACTGATTTATCAGTGTTACCAGTATACACATCTCAGTCAGACTGCTGTATGGAGAGTGTTTTATACACAGTACGTAAAGTTGCCCTTATTACATAAATGCTAGTGCCTCTGTGTTCAGTTTTGAATTGCTTTTATTTCAGCGAATTTGATACATGCATCCTGTATGATTTGGTTTTGTGCCTTTGGACTGGTGTGCTTTTTTTCCCCCCACTCTGGCTCTTCCAGGACTGGTCACTCAAAGCCATATGGCAAAAATGCCATACAAGGAGCTACCCTTTGACAGATCCCAGAATGGGGTATTTAACACATTGCCAAAACCAAATGTGTATAAATGGTATGTAATGGGTGCTGTCATGAAACACATAATTTTGTGGAGAAGCCTCCCAGCCAAACAAGGTCGAAGAATTTTTTTGCCTTGAATTTTTTTTTTTTGTTGAAGACTTTTTTTTTTTCTCCTTTCACTGAGTACATGACTGGCTTTAGTGTTGGACAACTTTAAAGTCTCCAAAGAAGTTCCTTCACTGTGAGCACTAACTTACTGCTAATACAACTTAATACAAGGGGAATAGTTTGGGTTTTTATGTGATATCTCAAATAACTCTTGTTCCAAACTTGGGCTGTGTTCCTGTTAGCTGTAAATTCAGCTAGGGTGCTTGTTTGGTTTGGAGCACTTTTTGCTGGCAGCCTTTGCACCCTAGAAATAGGTCGAAGAGATGTAGTCTTGGTGGCAGCAGGGTAGGTTATCCCACTCCCCTGCTGAAGTGTATAGCTCCTCATCTGGAAGAAAAATAAGAAAATTCAAGTGTTGCCCACTGCTAAAATGCTGACAGGCATATGCATGCATGT